CTGAGATGCTTGCTGCTGCTGCTGCTGCTGCTGTTGTGGTGGCTGCTGCGGTGGCGTGTTGACCATGAGCTGGAAGCTCTCCTCGGTAGCTGGCAGCTTTGGTATGTAGTGGTTCGGGTGAGCCCGCCGGATGTGCTCCTGCATTGAGCGGTACCTCTTCTCCTACAGAACGGTCAGTATGCATCTCGACGGGCAGAGCCATCGGCAGCTGGAGCTTGAGAGACGAGGACAAACCCCTAGACATCGCTTGCGGCAGTTCGAGCCATCGTTGTTTGCTAGCGGACAGACGACCTCGTTGGTGGCGTCCGAGACGGAGAACGAGCTTGTGAGAGACGGCCGGGGCATGGCAGCAGCATCAGGGCATCGGTCACTACGCAGAGGCGGTCGTCTCGAGTGCGCGGGCGGGCGGGCGAGCTGGTCGGGTCGCTGCTCAAGCTGTGCTGGCGGTTTTTTGCTCGAGGTTGGAGTTTGAGGTTGAAGTTGAGGTTGGAAAAAGCGCCAAAGTGGGAAAAAGCGCGGGGAGCGCCCGAGCTTAGGGAAGCTCCACTCGCACGCACCGGCTGCTCGGGGCACGCCCTATGCCCATACTAGGTGTTACTACATTACTACGACGTTACCACTGCGGGTGCTGTGCGTGACAATAGCAGATGGCGTGGCAGTAGGAGGTGGCTAGCGCCGGTGCCAGAGAGCATATAAAAAAGGCGACGAGCTCGGAGTAGATATTACGGCATTAATTGGTTGTATTTGCTATATAGACACGATTCATGAAGAAATGTACAGGCAGATAAGGGGTAGATAAAGGTGCGTGGGCTACGGGTGGTCGTCGTTGGCCTTGCTGGCGACCTTCTTGCCGACCTCGTAGCTCGATATCATGATGGCGCAGGCCGGGGCGACCTTGAGACAGCGAGCTGCCCAGCCCCTGAACAGGCCCTGCAGCCCTTCTTCCTGCAGGATGCTGAGCAGGAAGCGCGGGATGGACCCAGACGAGCCCGAGGCCACCTGCTGTCTCGTCTTGCCCACGTCAAAGGGCGTCGTTACCAGCGCAGACACAGCCCCAGACACGGCTCCGGCTGTGAAGCTCTCGACAAACACCACCGTCGAGCTCGGCGAGTGAGACGCTGCTGCTGATGATGTTGCTGTTGATGTTGCTGGTGTAGTTTTTGCTGCCGCTGTTGGTGTTCCCTTGAGCAGCGGATCGACATAAGCGTGTGGGAAAGCATGGCCTCTCATTGACTCGAGCTGGCGCTTGATGCGCTCGTATCCCCACCAGTACAAGCCGGAAAAGGGCACGTCTCGCCACATAGTCAGCGTCAGACCTCGCCAGAGAGAAGTGTAGCCTTCTCGATGCACCATCTTGTTGAGATCTCGCAGTGTTGCCTTGAAGTGGTCTGGGCCGTGCATACCTCCCCCGGCCGGGATCGCCTGCAGTCGTGTTCGGAACATCTCGATCGGACTGATGGCGGATGCGGCTGCTATCCGCGCTACGGAACCTGCTACCAGCGGAGCCGCGCTGGCAGGGACGTAGCTTGCTACAGGGCTGGCACTGTCGTACCGCAGCCAGTCGTAGCCCGTAAAGTAGATGACGTTGGCCGGAATTGCCATGACTAGGGTGGGTGAAAGCCCTCGCCAGAGAGACAATGGGCCCTCATGGCGAGCTATCTTGCGTAGCCCGTCAAGGGTAGATGTGTATGACTTGCGTTGTTCGACCACACACGGTTGTGGAGACGTTATAGTAGATGTAGGAGCAGACGTACTGGACGTAGCAGTTGGTGGTGGCTGGTTCACCAGACAGAACTGTGTCTGTGCATTCTCTCCTATCCAGAAGACTTCTCGGCAGCACGCCGTCACACCGAGGTTGGGAGGGAGGTGTCGGAAGAAATTGAGTGGTGACGGGGAGACAGATGTAAGCGTTGTAGGCTGTGGCGATGTAGGCAGCGAGGCCCGGATAACCGGTGTTTGCGCTTGAAGACGCACTCTGACCACATCCAGCGGTGTGACTATCATTGTTAGCTGCAATTTTCAATTCCGGCAGGACACAGGAGGCCATACCTAATAACGAGGTGAGAAGGCTCCCCCAGGTGGCGGATATCATCTTCTGGCTGGTTGATATGTTCTCATACTGCGCCGAGGCATCACTCTCACGGCTGCCAGCGCCGCTGCTCGGTCGAGGGGTCATCGTGTCTATCGGGATTCTGTTATCTTTGCTGTTTCTGCTGTTTCTATCGTTTCTGTTCGTGTATGCTGTCTGTTCGCTGGAGTTGAAATTGCCGGCGCCGGTGCTCAAGGCACCCGCAGACTCAGCGTCATGAGGCATTCATCCACCTTTCAGGTGCTTTATCGATCACTCTCCTAGCTATCCAAAACTATCCGGAGGGTCGGAGGAAGAGATTGTAACTCCGAAAGGGCGTAAAAATGTGCAGAAACTGCGTTGAGACGGGCTTTTTTTTCTTTTCTCTTCGACTCATCAAAATGGTGGAAGAAGAAAAAGAACCGTTAGGAAAGAAATTTAGATTGATAAGCCGGTCGGACCTCGGAGAAACTCTGATACCGCTTATCTGATTGATTACATAATCCCGATATCGTCATAGCCGAAGGAGCGAGAGCTGATGACTCTTCGAATATTTCCATGTTATGTACGGCAATTAAAGGGATATAGAGAGGCTGAATAGACAAAAAGATGGCTGGGGGTCAGCAGGAAGATGAGCTCGAGTCATTTCGACGCCAGTGGCTGGAGGAAGTCCGCACAAGACACCCGCCACCGCCGGCTCAATCGCAACAGCAGCCGGCGTCAGAAGCCAGACCGGCAGAGCGGCGGAAGTCGCTGCAGCCACGGCCACAGGCATCAATACAGCTTCCACAGGATCTGGCAGATGAGGCGGATGAGGATGGCTATACCAAGATTGACACGTCCGAGCTAGATGGGGAGTTCAAGTCGTTGGAGCTGGGAAGCCAGAAAACTGAGGAGAAAGCGCCCCAGTCAGCCCTCGAGCATTTTGAGCGAGCCATTGAGAAAGAGGACCAAGGCAGGTTGGGAGACAGTCTGAGCTTGTACCGCAAGGCTTACCGTGTATGTTGTTCTCGTTGATTGCTAGCGATGCGGTATACTGACTGGTTCGTTCAGCTCGATGCCAAAGTTGACCAAGCATACCGGGAAAAGCATCATGCCAATGCCAAACCATATATGCCACCAGCAGCACCGGCCTCAGGCTCGACACAACCGTCAGCAGGAGAAAAGGTAGATATTGCGTCATTTGCCAGTCTGCCAATTCTCCCCGCGGATCCAATTATAGAAAACACACCTCCTCCGCCGTGCCCGATTGCCCGTCTGCCCTCGGAGGTACTGATAGAGATACTGAAGCATGTAGCCCTGCTTGACCCTGCTCTGTTCTTTCGATTGTCCCTTGTGTGCAAGCGCCTAGCCTACCATTTTATGCATGAACAACATATATGGCGTCGACTCTGTCAGGGAACCGAGTTCGGTCTCGCTTCCATGCATTATTCCTTTGCCTGTCAGATCAATGGCTCACCTATCGACAAAGGCTACGTCCTCGGCTCAGACTCAGACTCAGAATCGGATTCTCAGATTGTCCATTCGCACCCGTTCACAGCACAGATAACGGCTACTATACCTAAACCGCTCACCAGCTGGTCCCATGTTTTCCAGGCTTTTCCTCGACTGCGTTTCACAGGTATCTACCTCAGTACAGTCAATTATATGCGCCCGGGTGCAAACTCAGCCATGCAGAGCGTTTCATGGAACTCGCCCATCCATATAGTCACCTACTATCGATATCTACGCTTTTATCCCGATGGTACTGTGTTGTCACTACTTTCCACTACAGAACCAGTCGAAGTTGTCCATCACCTCTCAAGAGAAAACATAGACCTCTTGGCCGCTAGCTCCGCCGGACGGAAACATACAAGGCACATCTCAGACACCCCGGCTCCTGCACCTCAGGCAATCTCAACAGCAAGTCCAATGCCACCTACTGCTGCGGCTGCGTTAAAGCACACTTTGCGTGGACGATGGAGACTTGCCCCGCCAACTCTTAGCCATACGGGCCCGGCACCCACAAACCCTGATTCAACAAGTGGCCAGCCTTCCAACCGCCAGCACACAAGCGCTGAGCCCCCATCCGCCTCCACGTCGGACCCACGGGATCTGTTCATCGAGACTGAAGGCGTAGACCCGAAGTATACTTATTCAATGCATCTTAGCTTCCGCTCTGCGGGCTCGCATAAATCGAAAAACACAAAACTTGCATGGAAGGGCTTCTGGAGTTACAACCGTCTCACTGACGACTGGGCCGAGTTCACGCTCAGGAATGATCGCGCTTTTGTCTTTAGACGGGTTAGAGGCTGGGGGCTGCCGGTATAGATCAGCCAGGCCAATAGATGCACAGTAGACATGAGATACTCGGCGCTCTGGAATACAATGCTCGACACCCTCAACCACTCTCTATGTATTAACCATCTTCTTCCGCTTCGCCCCCTTCACCCCCTGCATGTTGCTGCCTGGCCGTCGTTTCAGGGGCTTCCGCTTGCTGACTAAGATGCTTTTCAGCCTCATCAAAACTCTATATTTACTCTCAAGATCGCCCTTTTGGTGATCTCGGTTTCTTTCGTCTTTAACATTTGGACAGATTGTACACCACTTGTTTGATGTGATGGTTGGAGATACGGTCCCGAATCCCGAAGTACCCGTTGAGAATGGGGTCGTCGATAAGCCTTCGGCAGACCCACCGGCCATTGAAGAACCTTTGGCTCAGGAACCACCCGCTCCGGAGCCGACTATAGTACAGGACACCACGGAACTTACCGCCAGAAAGTTGAACACACAAGTAGAGGAAACGAAGATCGAAGTATCTCCAAAGGCTGAACCGACAACCAATAAGTTAGCCTCAGAGTCAACTTCTACAGAGTCAACAGCCACTGAGCAAACGTCCAATGAGCTGGTGACTGCTAAGTCTTCAACTCCAGACACGACTGCTACAGAGTCCACTTCTAAAGATTTTACATCAGAAGCTTCAAAACCCAAGGAACCCTTTACCCTCCCTCTCCTAAGAGGCAAGATCACACTTGAGGATGCTCTCGTTCAGGAGGAGGACATGCTTATTCGACTTTCTTTGGTTGACAAGCGATTTGATTTCTTTCTGTGGATAGTTCAACATAAGAAAGAGATCCAAGAACTAGTTTCATTCCAACTGGGCCTAAGTTCACCAGAGCAATGTCGTGTTGGCGAGGTTAGAGAGTGGCTTCACGGCAGTTTCAACGTTTGCGTCCCCATTTATGTGAACAAAGGGGTAACTCCAACTGAGAAGCGACTTCTAATTCGCTTTCCATTACCATACAAAATTGGAGAGACCAATTATCCGGGAAATGCGGACGAGAAACTTCGTTGCGAGGTTGCAACCTACGTATGGATGCAGGAAAACTGTCCCGATGTTCCCATACCAAAGTTATGGGGTTTTGGATTTGTCGATGGCCAAACGGTATGGCTTAACTCGTAAAGTCATTTCCACACCCTTGGAACTACTTACTGAATGTTTTTTTTAGTTCGTTGACCCTAGCACTGTACCTTTAGCTGCAAGATGGTGCTGGTATTTCCGGCGATATATCTTGCGGCTTCTTGGATATACTCTACCTTGCCAATATATAAGCTGTATTCGGGATAAGCCTTTTGAGCAGGGATATATTCTTGTCGACTTTATAGCGGATCCAGGCGTACAAATGCTTTCTGTTACATGGGAGAAACAACGCCAGGATGACCGTAAAAGACAGACCCTTTTCAGAAATCTTTCGCGTGTTATGCTTTCTTTAAGCCGTATACCCCAGCCTCGTATTGGCTCTTGGACAATCGATTCAGAAGGTCTAATCCACCTAGCTAACCGTCCGCTTACCCTTCGGTTACATGAATTTGAGAACTTGGGTATACCTACTGGTATTGACAGAAAGATGACATATCTTACCTCAGAGGCTTACTATTGTGACACTCTGTTTTATCACGATAACCGTATACGGTATCAGCCAAACTCCATGAATGACGAAGAGGACGGTCGTTCCCAGATGGCCAATCTTGCTATGATGCGAACGGTACTCTCTGACTATACAAGCCGTGACGTCCGCCACGGACCGTTCTTCTTCCAACTGACAGACCTTCACCAGAGCAACATATTTGTTGATGAGGATTGGCACATCAGGTATATGATTGACCTCGAGTGGGCATGCTCGCTCCCAGTGGAGCATCTATTTCCCCCCTGGTGGATGTCAGGCCGCTTTGTGGATGGGCTTACGGACGAGCATCTGGAGGTTTTTACCAACACTTATAAAGAGTTCGCCGATATTTTCGAGGAGGAGGAGAGGTTACTGGCGCCTTCCCCTATTAATGGAATTGAGCTGTATCGCACAAGTATCATGAGGAGAGGGCTGAGTAAGGGGACGTTTTGGTATTTGTCCTCACTCGACAGCCCGAAAGGGTTATATAACTTGTTTCACCAACATATTCAGCCACGATATGCTCAAGATCATCGAAAAGGCTCAGAATATCCAAAAATTACGTACAAATACTGGGCTGCTGATGCGGACGAAGTCTTATCTACAAAGATGAAGGACAAAGAGGTATATGATGAGAAACTAAGGGAGCTCTTCCGGAAATCTGCTAACGAAGAGTCGTCTTGATATAATACTGGATTCTCTCAAATTTCACCCTTACTTGGCTTCATGGTCCGATATATCCCCCAAATGAACACGCGTAAAGAGACGAATGAGGCTCTTGTACCAGGCCTCGTATGCCATGATGGTTATCTAACGATTCCTCCCTTCGCGGGCCCGCTGTGCAAAATGTCCCGAGGATGACAGCTGGCGAATAGTGACTGGGTCCATTAGGCCTCTGGTGACTTCTGCTGAATCTTGACGAGCCTGTTCACGTGCTGCCGCCTCCGCCGCTGCCTGTGCTTCGGCTTCCGCTTGAGCTGCTGCTTGAGCTTCTGCCTCCGCTTCAGCTTGTGCTTGGGCAGCTGCTTCAGCTTCTGCGGCCGCCATCGCAGCAGCCATTTCCACTTCGTACGCTCTTTGTTCGGGGTTAGACATGGTATTCTTTATATATACATGTCAGTAACTATCTAAATAGACTAGGCATTATTTGGACTTTCATACTTATCGATACAAAAATGGTCTGGAATGTCAGATTTTAAAGGGAATAAACTTGGTATGGGTGATTTGGAAGATGTTGGTTTGGTTGAATACTGATCTTGTAGGGTCTGTTTCTGTTGATTGAAATTGATATCAAAGAACATGTCTTCTATTTATTCTGTTCCTCTCTGACTATTTCGAGGGGTCAGTGAAAACTTCATGCGTGCACAGCCAGCCTGTTGCCTAAAAGTGCATGAACATTCCGGGGCCCGGAGCCAATACATGATACCATCCACCCATCTTCATGCAATATGTACTACGCCTTTTCTATACCCATGCGAATTTACTGTCCTGATGTCGCTGCTGCCTAGCTCTGACACCATATTAACAGCCATCTGACTAGGAATACCTGGCTGGCAAGGCTCACCGGAAGGCATTAGTTTGGACACAAGATCAGTCAGCATGGTCAAGCTCATAACTATACCGGACTTTAATAGGGAGAAAGGCACTGGGCTTTCTCCCTTTACTTTCTTTATGCCTCCCTCTTTCTGGTCTCCAATTATTCCTCTCCTTTCCTACATCTCAGCTTAGTAGGAGACCAGAAAGACAGTATAATTATGGCCAGTAAGGGAGTAAAATGGGAGAGGTGTATTAAAGGCAGGGAAAATAAGGCGCTTCTTTACATCTATGCTAGATGCATGTTTCCAATTACAAGCACCTGTCGCTCGCAGGGCAACCCTCCCGGACTTGATTGTGTTATTCAGTTGATTATTTCTCCTTGACTCATAAAAGGGATCAGATGGAGAGTTCCGGTATTTTCCATGCATATCTCAGTGTTTTTCTTGTAATATCCTCGGATATACCCCTGGATAGCTATCAGCCACTCCAAATTTATCACTAACTTCACAATAATACTTTGGAGCATTAAATTGGATCATAGGGCAATACACTTCTCCCCTTATTTCCTGTACTTTCTGTATTCATCAATGCTTTTGGATACATGGATTAGATCGACCCTCCTTTTTAGTGCTTGGTTATAGATTAAGCCTGGCTTTGTTTTGGAGCGGACACGCTATAAATGCGTGAAATTGCTTGCTTCCCTGTTTACATGGTTGGAATCGCGTTAGTAGGATACGCAGCCTACAAATACTCCTACATACCGCTGACGATGTCTAAATTTCTATACTTATAGAACCATCAATATTGCACTTTGTTATTTTCGCCATGAGCACTGCTACCGGGGTCTATCAATCCTTGGATAAACTTGCGGAGTTCCTCGGATTCGATACAGTGCAAGCACTCCAGTTATGGATGCGGGGAGCGTTATGCAAGCCATACTGGGATGAATACACGCGTGGATGTACTGAAGTTGAGTTATCCAGGGGTAAAAAGGCAAGGCTGGTAGACTGCCGCTCAGTACTGAAGCATCTTGCCGAAGGCGAAGCTCAAGGACACCGGAAATTTTCCAGTGACTTTCCAGATACACCTAATTGGAAGCTCATAGACTGGCAGGCAAGGCTTCTCTTCAAGATACGATCTGTGAATCAAGCAGATAGACATGGCATCTTCTATGGCAAGAATATGAACGAGATTGAGATGGCCACCAGAGCCTGGCAAGTGATTTTACGGCTGAACTTGGATGCATCTCGTGAAAACAGGCCAAATAAAAGGGTGAAGGCAGCGGGGGAGTTTGACCACTGGCGAACCGGAGACGGTGAAGCTATCCCTATGCCAGTTAACCCTGACGGTGGAGCCGCTTGTGTTGTATGGACTGATATTCCGACGGAGATGGAAAAGAACGGCCAGAAAACAACGATTACTCTAACCGGGCTGGTCCACTACACCTACGAACAATTCCTTAAAAAAATCTGCTGTGAACTGCAGTTGAAGGAATGTGGATATGAAATCGACCAATTATCTGTTACTGGTGACCCTATCTGCAGCAATTCCTTCAAGGAATTTTTGAAACTTGCTGCTGGTTTGAAGAAAAAGGTGGTGGTTGATTTGACTACCAAGAACTGTCCTGCAGAACTAGATATACCCTCGATTGAAAATGAAGAAGATACTTCAAGGAAGCTCTCATTTGACATCATGGTTGCCGAAAAGGTGACCTCAGGATTTGACTTGAAAAACCGCTTCTGCAAATGGTCCTTGATACAAGAGGTGACTAGATCCTTTCCTTCGCGTATCAACAGCGAGTGTGAGCTTTTAACGGAAGGCATTGATGCTAGAGGGGACACTATAAGAGTGAGTAAGAGTGACCTCCGATATTCTCCAAGTTTACTAATGAATTATAGTGGTTACATACATCCAAAGACTCCGACGGTGTCCAGGGAGAAGCTAGAGATGGACTTATACTGTGTGAGCCAACAAGTGAGGACCTTCAACGGTACCGTGAGCAGGAAAAGTGGATTGACAACAAAGATCTGCAGCGTCAGGGCCATCCTGAAGCTTGTAAAGCCCTTGGGATCCCAAACCCGGATATACCTCGTTTACCAGGAATGCTGGTCAGCGCCAAGTTCGAGTTTTGGCAGCCTCTGGCTATAAAAGCCATCAAAGAATTTGAAGAAGGCTATCTCCGTGGAGGTATTCTAGCCGATGATGTAGGAATAGGGAAGACTTTTGAGGCTATTGGTTTGGAACAATATGTGAGCCCCCTGGTCTGGTTTTATCTCAGTGTTAACTAACTGTATATATAGCATTGGAACCTGAGAAAGGCTGCTCTGGAGTCAAACCTAGAGGTAGCCGCTCCTCGGCCAACTCTTATTGTCGTCCCACCAAATTTGATCCATCAATGGGCTTCGGCAATCAAATCCATATCATCAGACCTAGTCGTGAAAATATACTACGGGGGAAAACACCAAACTAGCGCAGATGGAACAGAGTATCTAACAGATATACTCTCCAAAGACAGTGAAGTATTCTCTCAGACTGAGGAAGCTGCACGAACGACTATCATCACCTCGCTTCGCACCTTGACTTCACGCCATGGCCCCTCTGTCTTGAAAAAAGTAATTCGAAATGAAATCTGGGAAAAAGATGAGTCTACCCCTTATGCTTCTGTCATGGAGGCTGTGAATGACAGAATGAAAGGGATGAAGAGCGCTCCCGCGTGGTGGCGTCATAATCTGAAAGGGCTTTTTAAAAGAGTCATCGTGGATGAAGCTCACGAAATAAGGAAAAAAAAACATCTTTACAGCAGTCACTTTACGCTGGTTGGAGGCTCCATCGGTTTTATTGCTTACCGCAACCCCCATTTGGAATGACCTCTCGGACATTCTTGGACTTCTCTACCAGTTGGAGCCGCATAAGGATCCCTGGTCAAAGGAGTCCTTGGAAAAACTCGGTGTATTTGCTACTGACGCGTGGAATACCACGACCGGTAGTGAAGAGTTTGATCCCTGGGATATCAAATCCGACGAACCGGCTTCTTGTCTTCGATATACCTCGGAATCTGTTGAGTATCATATAATCAAAGGAAACATTTCTTTGGTCACTAAAGGTGAGAGAATGAGGGAGGTCCTAAAAGCATGTATGATCAAGAGATCATACGGGTCTTTAGTTGATGGCCAGGTTGTGGGCAAGGCTCTGCCAGCCGTTCAGAATATATCTGTCAACCTTGCGTTCACCCCGGAAGAACAAAAAATATATGAAGGAGTATTTGGTGACTGTATGGCACAAGCTCCCAGGGGCCGACGGGGCAAGAACGATGCTAGAGGCACCATAAGCGCCTCAAAATTCAGAAGGCTCTGTCTAGTTACAACTTGGACAGAGTTTGATCATATTGCCCCCTCATATACAGCAAAGAAGTTAAATGACCGCCGAAAAAACGGAGTATTGCATACACGCACGATCTTGAGGGATATTCACCACGCAAAACGACAGAGGCCTTATCATATAGCAGACCCACCTGAAATCCGGGCTGAAACCCAGATAGATCCCCTGCCTTCGGAGGATAATATCAGGGAGATACTGCAGTGCCACTGCCGTGGCTCACCAAAACTACGATATCTTCTACAGCTAGTAGCAGAGTTGGTAATTCTACGCAAGGAAAAGCTGCTGATATTCGTTACCATGCCTGCTCAAGTCCTTTGGTTAGAGAGTGTATGGATCATTCATATCTTCTATTTTGCCGGCAATCCGCTAATGTTACTCTTCAGGTCTTACAGCTCCTTGACCTAGATGCTCATTCGTATCGGGCGGGATTAAATGTGCAAGACCGACAAACCCTGAGTGATACATTTCACAGGTCTCCGGATAAGTGTTATATCTTGATAACATCATTTTGGGTGTGCTGCGCGGGACTCAATTTGCACGGCCATTGCCGCAATTTGGTATTCTGGGACTCCGCTCCAATTTCGGTCGAACAGCAAGCCCTAGGGAGACTGAAGAGAGTCGGTGCAACAAAGACAATCCGACTCTTTCGGCTGTACGTCGAAAATACTTTTAGCACCGTGCAGAACATGAAATATATCAACCAAGCAATTCCGGGACTCATAGCTCAGCTGAACATGGAAATATTTGGAAATAATAATGAGGATGGGAGTGTTTGCATGGGTGACTGGGTCATTCACGAAGGACAACTGGTTAGGGCCAATGATCCATCGGTGGCTGGACTTCGTTTAAATATATTAGACGGTGAAGAGTTACTCACTTGCATTCTGATGATATTGCAAGGGAAAGCAATATAGTATGAGCAAGAGATCCTGATGTAAGTTTTGGATGGGCTGATAGCTCCATATTCTGTGCAAGGAAGTTAAATACAGTTAAGCTTATTTAAACTTCCCGCTATGTCTCCATTGACGGTTTTGGCAGTGATTTCGCCGTTACGTGCAAATATTGTTAGTTATGCCATACCAATGAATGATGTCTATGATACAATCTTATAATTTCCACCGCTGACCATCTCAAGCTCCCCATTTGAAACCATCTTTCCCATAAACTGTTTAAGCTCCTCACTGCTAAATGGGAATCCCCCGGGAACAGCTATTTTTAACATCATGATGATACGCTGCAGAGGCATGGCTCCTTGGTTCGTAAGCATACCCTTAATGAATTGCCAGTACAAATCCATTTTCGCCATAGTTGCGGCTTCTGCCGCTTCCTTTGCCGCGACAGCGGCAGCAGCAGCAGCAGCATTAGCGTCGGAGTTGGGCTGAGCTTGTGCTTGGTTCTGAGATGAGGCCTCAGGATCTTCATCATCAGGTAGTGTTTCGAGGACAGTAAAGGTGTCAGGCTGTTGTTGGATGAGAATGCGCTTGCTCAGCCAGAATAAGCAGGAGCTGCGAACAAGAGATGCAGGCATGTCAAGCTCATTGGATAGATCGTTGACTGTCTTTGACACTGTGGCATTCTCATCTGATTGAAATGAGTATATTACAGCAGCCTGCCATGTTGTCACCTCATCCTTGAATACACGGTCTTCAAGGTCAAGTTCAACAGTAGCTGTTCCTAAGCTGTTCAGCCAAGTTAATTTTCGGGAAGGTTTCAGAGACTCGAAACCTGCAGAATACTTTTCCTGCAGTGCAATGATTTCGGCGGGAATTCTAAACTCATGTTCCTGGAGCTCAGGCCAATACAGACGGGATAGAATTTTAGCATGAATACCGGCTGTGGGGCCCTGGTCAAGGCCTTTATCCGTTCGGATAACGGTGTCAATCCTCTTGGAGTCAAGCGCATCACGGAGCATAACTTCGCAAGCTTGGAGTGCTGATTCACCAAAGCGAACCTTCAGCAGCTCCAATACGGAAACCTCTTGATCGAATGATCCGCTCTTGCTTAACAATCTGCCACACAACGTTTCCTGAAGTTCCTTTACAAAGACTTCCTTGGATTCAAAAAGAGTTATCATGCTTCCTATAACGTCGGACTGTTTTGACCTCTTATAGTCAACCACAGCATCAATAGGGTCAGGAACCCAGTTCATATCATCCCAGTCAAGCTCTCCAGAATCATTACGCAAGGATGCTTGGCGTGCACTTGTTAATTCAATTGCTAGTTCCACCAGGGTATTTGGATCCGTGTTCTCCTGATCTTTCGTCTCACTCACATCAGCCAATAGCCCATTCACTATGACCTTGACTGTATCATCGCGTTCCCGTAGATACCTGCGTATAGGCCGCGCCACCCTATCTAACAACACTCCTCTTGGATCTAGCTGAGTAAGTGCCCTAATGATAGAAATATATAGCTGCAATATTTCGACAGTAGAGGCACCTGGGTGAAGTAGTCGTTGAAAAATGGAAGTGTTGAACATGCTTGAAAGGTAAAGGCGCGTCATTGGGTTGGTGGTATAACTCTTCAGATCTTCGATCGCTCCGCTACTTGCGTCCCATTCAACAACTATATCGAATAGTTCGCTTATCCGTAAGGCAGCGAGTCGAGTAACAGCAATCTCTTGCCATTTGTGGATATCTGTCAAGGTAGCATCAATGCTTTCCTCGCCTCGTGACACCCCGTGCCCACCTTGTTTCAAACATTGAAGAACTTGAAGGACTAGCCGCCCAAAAATCTTCCCGATCCACAGACGTAAGTGTTCGATGGCGAATGACGGAGTATCCCATAGCCCAGAGTATGAATTTATTACAAACTCTGTTATCATATTGTTCATCACATTGGCAAATATGGCTTGGCATTTTTGACCGCCCAAACCAACTTCCTGAAGTCCTTCTAGTATGCGGATCAGACCTAGTCTCGCATCGATGGCTCCGGGTATCTCCCTTTCCGAGACCAAAGGAATTCTATCACCAGGAGGTAGTTTTCTCCAGCTACTATAGCACATGCGAGACTTTGGGTCGACATCCATCTCATCACCATCCGTATCTGCAGCACTGAGTCTTTCACCCCTATTCTTTGTCCCGAGAATTGTAGAACACGCAGCACTGAGTTCCGTAGCAAGGATATCGAAAAATGAACGGGGAAGAGAAAACGTGGTGACTGCGTGTATACTCTCACGAAGAGCCGCAAAACCCGTATCCCTCGCCATTGGGTCTGATAGCGGTAGTATATATTTTAAAAAGGGGCTATAATAAATATTCTGAATAAGGCGGAGATAGCGGATTAGCCGGGTCAGGACATGCTTCTTCTCAGTGCTTTGTAAAATCTATAACGGTCAGCAGTCAGCCAGGACGTCGTAATGGGAGGTAGGTATCTGTAAACCTACATGAATAAGAGAATCTTTAAAATTAGTCAAAAAGTGTCGACGGGTTTCATTTATGTACCACAATTTGAGATCGCATTCTTTCAGTTCTTTCCTCAGCTCTTTTCCCTGGGATGAGTCGGCACCTACATAATATAGGCTATCCCGTGTTTTCGTTGTAGGTGGATCTCGGGCCCATCGTTTTAGCAGCACCCTATCTCCTATATGGTCATCACAATTGCCGTCATTACTGATATTAAATCGCTTATCTGGGATAGCAAGGAAGGCTGTTGCCATATGCCATGACCGGTCCCATGTAACTTGTTCTGGTTCTGGTTCCTCCGAGGTTGACGAAGCATTTTCTAAATCAGAAGATAGTAGTGTACTGCCAAATAGCGCGCCTGAAGGTGCGTATCCTAGGACCCGTGTGGCATCTGGGGCGGGAGATATGCCGCTGAGCAAGGACGGCGGGAAGACAGAATCGAAAACACGTTTTTGGCCAATGGAAGATGGAACGTGCTGGAACATGGCTCACGTCGGTAAATTTAAGGAATGCTTCAGTTCTAGTGGTACAGATTCACGATTCATCCCCTCCATCACCCTGAAATGCGTTCAACGTCGGTTTTGTTCGTTGTTCGTTTTGTTGTTTCTTCTACGCTTTTTGGCGACTTCCTTATCAATAAACACGGTCATGTGGTCCTTATCGCGCGGACCAAGCGATAAGCGGCTATTTTAAGACGCGACAAGCGCGTTGAAAGCTATCATAGAGACCGTCGAGGCTGACGATCACCTTCTTGATGACTTCTTCCAGTGTTCAGGGAACACTTGGTTATCCAGAGTAGCGAGCTGTGTATTATGGCTATCTCTGTCTCTATATACGGGCACAGAGGCTAAGTGGGCAAAAGTAACCAGGTCAAGCATCAATATTGAATGTAAGCAACAGCTAACACCATAGTCGTGCAAAGGGGGAGACACGGAATGTTAGGGACGGTACAATCCAGTCTGGGTATATTGTAAAACATATTGTATGAGTTGTGGTAAAGTAGGAGGTTGTATCTGATATACTTAAGATATCCGGACATACATAACGTGTAAGGTATGAATGAACGTGGGGAGGAGACGATCCAAACATGAAATCTCTCGATCTACTTCACTTAAAGAAAAATCAAAGAAAAGACATCACTATTACCTCGTGAACATGTTCGTCAGAAATGGTTTACCGATCTTTATCGTCGACCTTTTCCCATTCGCTGTCGGTACTGATGTATCCAGAGCTATCCCCAGATGGCTTTCGTAGCGTGAGCTCGTCCATACTACTCTCTGGCGTCAACGTCACCTGTACGCCCGACGCAGAGGGTGTAGTCCGCCTCGCAGTAGCACCACCGCTCAACGGAGAGGCGCCCGATACTTTTGGGGTTCCAATATGACCAGCACGTATGCTCTCCGTCTCAGTTCCGCTCTCAGCTGAATCGGACATCGCTCCCGATAAACGGGCGACAGGCGAGGCCTCCTTCTTCACACGTAAACTACTGAGATCTGTCGAAGATCCCCTATCATCTTTCTCCTTGCCCTCTGCGAGCTTCTTCTGCCGTTCATTCTCCGCCTTCACCTCGTCCGCAAACCAATTTATCGAGTACCATAATGCGCCACTGATGCAGGAGAGGATGAGGAAGTGGATGCTGTAGGTAGCCACGAGTAGAACGAAGAAGACGACTTGGAGAGCGGCGAAGGTAGCATTAGTAGCGAGGAGGAGGGTGGGCGTTGCTCCGGGGGTGAAGATGCTGGAGAACAGCTCCTGGAAAAACTCCGCCATGAGGGCTCGCGCTGACGTCCGCTTATGTATCTCAAACGTATCGCAAGGAACTTGTAGTATATTATCTGGATATTGCTGGTCGAAGCTTTCGGCGCGTGCAGAGGTTGTAGAATCGAGGCGGGCTTCAGTCAGGCTATGAGATATCCGCAACCGTCAGGCCGGGACTCCGCCTCGTCCTTTTAACAAACTCACACAGGTGCTTTATCCAGGCCGGATGATATATGAATGTGCCCTTGAGAAGTTGGTAGCTGCTGCGTTCCTGTGACCTCACGGAAGACCAAGTCATTTGTTTAATGCGAGTTGGACGTTTTTCCTTTTTGCTGCGGCGGCGGATAACTTAAGGGATTTAAATAGTAAGCGTTACGTTCCCCACTCTAACCGCTTATATAAAGACTGCGCGGGCGCCAGCGATGTCACAGCCGAAGAGAACAAGCTGTACTCTTGACGCCAGGCAGACATAATTACAAGGTGGACTGCGCCGGGGCATACGTGTATGTGGCCCTGGCCTACTGTATACGTCACTTTGTGAATATAGTTACTTGATTGTTGCGGCTTGTAGATAATCAATAACAACAGACGGAAGAAGAGCAGAGAAGAAAGCCGAAAGAGTATATAAAGAAAAGCATGCCAATATCAAACGGCTCTTAGAGACGTGTTTTCCATAACATGTGTCATGGGTGTGAAGGGGTATCAGCACGAACAGGCAGCAGTCAAACATACGGGCGTAAGGGAGGCAGCTGGGGGCCAGATAGTCAAATATATCAAACATGAAGGACTTCGCAAATTCTGCCAACGAGGCCGTTGAGGCCGGGAGCACTAGGTAGGCCAGACCGAGCCATCGATGGCAGACATGACGAAGAGGACGGAGGAGTGGCTATCACTCCTACGCCTGTACCTGGAACTGCAAGCACAAGCGATCCCACCTCAAGCCACTCGACTGAGGTTGTGAGAGAGAAAGTAACGCTGATCTCATCATCCCCATGGCAACGTTCAGTATTATGGTGGTCAGCAGCGTCAAGCATGAAAATTTCTGGTTCAATCCCATGGGAAGGGGAAATATGCGGTCGTGTCTGTTCGACCAGTATTACTCGGGCAGCAGCCCGAATACTTTCGATGTATACCACCGAGGTGCTTCCTGAAACCAGAACAGGAGGAGACGCTGAGAAGTCGGATGCATGGAATCGAGCAATGAAACCAGAATGAAAGGGCGGTGCGGAGGTAGAAAGTCGCTGCGAAGAAAGCAGCGAGTTTGATAGATACCCACAGTTAAAATCCGCAAGCACCATGCCCTTACGCATTCGTCCGAGCGACGTTGAAAGTGAAGAGTCAACAAAGTCAACTCCGATGGTGCCAATTTGATGTTCAAAGAGAGCTTTGACGGGAAGTCTCAGGTTACGTACACTAACAACCCGGACTTGTTTCCAAACTGCATGTGTTTGAGACTGTGCTTCAAGACTGTCTCCAGTAAACTTCCGAAAACGAGAAGAAGGCAGAGAATCAGGAAGTGACTTGCTATATGCTGCTTTCGCTCGTGGTGGTGTATGGGTTGGTTCGTGAGAACGAGACTCAGGGATGATTGGTCCTACAACGAGACGGTCTCCAATAGATATAGCCCCACGGCGAACACGGCCACAGAGAACTATACCTCGATCATTTTGCCGCTGTCCCTCACTCGAAAGAGAGTATACTTTGAAGAGTGGCATCTCAAACACTTCACTGATATCAAAAAGAGACTTCGGCTGTTCATCGTCGTCTTCATTGGACTTCTTAACAGGGGGTGAGATTTTCTCTGGAGTAGGCATGCGGAGCGTCTGTAATAAGGCGTGCAATTTCCCGACGCCAGCGCCCGTGACTGCACTGGTGATAATAATCGGAATGTCATCTAAACAGTCACCACCCATGGAGTTAATAGCAGCATTAGCGTCCTTGCGGTCACCTGGAGAGATATTGCTAAGGTCTAAGTCTTGCTCGTTCACTTCTCCAGGAACAGGAAGCATCACAGGCTTACGGCCGGCTGACTTAATGGCAGAGAGTACCTGAGCTAGAGTCTGTCGAATACTGGACCTGGTTGCGCTGTCGAGCTTGGTTACTACCACGACAACAGGAATTTCTAGCTTAACGCATAACTCAAGGTAGGCCAGTGACATGCCTACTTCAGGTGGTATAATGGACCCAGGGTCCTCAGGGTTGTTTGCAGGGACACAGAGAAGCACGTAATGCGGCCTGAGGCTCATTAGTCCTCTGAGCGTCGACTTTACATACCTCAGAGACCCAGGAAGGTCTGACAGGAAGACAACACGTCCACCACCACGTGCAGAAACATGAATGTCATCCCACGAATTTATGTTTCCAGATGCATAATTTATGACATCCGAGGAGGCAGTTACCTGTTTGTCATCATTTACTGGAGCTGGATACCCGATCATCTCCTGTGCAATGGAGCTTGTGACACCAGATGCAATCTCATGTCGGTGTCGGAGAAGGCTTAGCCTGCTTTTTCCACGCCCATTATCGAGTGCAGAGGTAGATAGTATTCCAAGAAGAGAGGATTTTCCAGATCCTGATGCCCCTGCAATTGCCACATTAAGCTGTTCAGTCAAAACTGGCTGCTGTGTCATAGACGACCTGCCACCATTTTCTTTCCAACGCCCGGACGGATCGCCTGTTAATACCTGAGAGCGACACTGCTTCAAATCAGGGCTGACCAAGGCCTCTGCTACCCAAAGTTTCTCGGTTCGGGTAGACAAGCCGTCTTTCTCCACCCATTCACAGTACCCAACTGCAACACGGCGGAGGACCTCAACTCGACAGCCCAAGCTTGCAGCCATAGCTTGAAGGTTGACAAGACTCTCATCCAGTTCATCTTCCGCTAAACCCGCAAAGGTGCCGTCATCGGTGACGCCAATTTCATATAACGCTCCCTGACTTTCCTCGAGGCCCGGTAGCAGCGGGGATAACGTACTAGGTACATTTAGAGACTCGGTTGCCTCCGGAAGGGCAGGGAGCACTAGATTGGCAGTGGAGGATGAATGAAATGGTGAGGACTGCTGCAGCCTCCACAGCAACTGGGTGGTAAGCTGACATAGTCGAGCCTGTCTTGGTGAATTTGAAGATGACTGAGCACCTCGTGAAGCCGGCTCAGGGGACTCAGAAACGTCCCTTTCCGCAACACTGTTGCCATGGGATTTTGAATGATGTGAGCCTGAGACCTGAGCCCCCGAAGACAGCGAAACGAAAGGCCGCCTAGGGCGTAAGAGTAAATGTAGTTTATACTCTGTAGGCCCATCTTGAGGCTCTGGTTCCAGTTTCTTGATGCCACACGCCTCGAGAAATCCAGGGTCACTTGTGTCAATGGGGCTTGGCCCACAGGAACTATTCTGGCCACCTTTTTGATGTCGTGGCGTTGTTGCTCCAGAGCTGGACCATGGAGATGAAACCCGGGGAAGGTCAGGATCGAATGTAAATATCGACGCCATAGGCACCAGTGTCCACCCTATCTAAATGGGGATATGACCTTTTAGGATGTAACTTGTACCGCGCGCTCGCTTCTTCGTGTCTCTTCTTCTTCTTCTTACTATCCCTTTGTGCTGGTCAGGAAGTGTGGTGATGCCCGTAGACAGATGGTCATTCAGCAGTTCGCTCCTGTTTGTATGTTCCTCGAGTAGCAGTGTAATAACCCGAGGTACCGAGTGCTAGCATAGAAATAGTAGAGTCGTAAGGTTCGATAGAGTGATTTGACCATTTTGAAGCGAGCAGATATCTTGTAAAAGCTGTATGTCCCAAAATCGAGGAAATCGCTTTGATAAAGGAGAGGCAAACTGGAGCAGGTATTCGGGTGAGTACGGCTGGCTCCTGGCGGCTTGCTCAAAAAGAGGAGGTCATCATGAAGGTACAATGATAAGTGTGATGTTATTATCGCTGCTCTAGCTGCTGAATATCAAATTAACGTTGATGTTTGGTGTTTGGTGTTGCGGTTGACGTTGGTACCCCGTACTTCTTGCGATGTTGCGAGAGTTCGACTCGACGGTTAGTCACAGCCCTATACGGTATGTTTGTAGAGTTTGCATTCAATTACTTGCTTAATAATTAACCTTCGTAATTTTATTATTCCCGTCCGAATATCATCACGTGCTAAGTCTAAAAATAGACAGTGACGTCGACCCAAAGACTCGAACACAAAATACCGACAGTAGATGATGATTATTGTGATGATGATGATAATGCGTGATAATAATGGCCAGGAAGGACCAGTGAGTATAAAACGATCATTTATTCCCATATGGACAACCTCTTTTCTCTCCCTTGGCTTTGATACCCTTCTCTGTCTACCTCTCTTAATTGACGCTCCCGCTACTCCTAGTTTACTTCTTACTACCTTATAGTAGTAGAAGTAAGAGAAACCGTAAGTAAGAAAGGAGTACAGAGTAGAAAGAGGCTCAGAGAGAGAGAGAGCGGCCTCTGCAAATTATTTATTGCACCGCTTAAACTTCCCTATTATTTTTGTCTGATGGGGATATCCATTCCCTCTTTCCTCTTCTCCTCTTCCATGGCCTCCTCCTCTGGCCTCTCCTTCTCCTTCTCCTTCTCCTTCTCCTTCTCCTCCTCCTTCTCCTCCTCCTTCTCCTCCTCCTTCTCCTCCTCCTTCTCCTCCTCCTTCTCCTTCTTCTTCTCCTTCTCCTTCTCCTTCTCCTTCTCCTTCTCCTTCTCCCTTGCCTGCCTACGTTTCTCTGCCCTCCTGGTCTTAAGTTTGGCCTTTTGGTGTGGCCGTGGGCGTCGGCGGCGTTGGTGGTGTTGGGGGACGGCGCTGGGTCACCGCCCATTTACTGGCGGCTTTCTCCTTTTCTGTTGTAGCTGCTGCTGCTGCCGCCGCCGCCGCCGCCCCTTCTTTTCGGATCGGTTCATGGCTGTTCCTTGTTTAGAAAGAGAGTATCGTATCTATCAACCAAGTTAGATTTGCGATAATACGTCTTAGGGGGGGTATAAAAGAGCATTGACAGGGTTATATAGTACATAGTACTTACATTTTGAAGTGTGATACTGTGCTGAGGGAGAGAAAGAAAAAGGGAAGGAGAGGGACCTGCAATATCAGGAATCTTTAGCATGCCCTGAACAAGTAGCCCCAGATTGTGAATGTGGATGCCACCTTCACTGATGCATTTAGACACCAACGAGGCCTGGTGATAGCTTCTGTTGGGTTCAACGCTTCCCAAATACCCAAATGCAATACACTCTGAAATCAGGGCGATGATTGCAAACAGATACATTGGAACCTCGATCCAGTCATAGCTGCACCGAGGGAAGGAAAGCATAGTAAGCTGGTACACTAACCCCAGCCATCCTAAACCCTCACTCACAAGGAAATAAGCCGTCCAGCCATTATGCTTGCCATACAGGTCAATAGCAGCTGGTGGCGGTCGGCGCTAGAGAAGGGAAGACTATTAGAGGTGGAAAATAGCGTTTAAGGGAAAGGGGCGGAAACGAACGTGGTTGCTCCTGGATCCATCTTGAAACGGTTAACTGGATGGATAGGAGATTGTCGGGGAGGCGTATTGAATGCAGTGTCTTGATCTGG